CTGCAGGGGCACGGTGGGCAGGGCGGGTGCCATGGTTCCCTGCAGGCTGTGGGCAGGACGGGTGCCATGGTTCCCCTCCGCCTGCAGGGGGCGCTTTAGCGCAGGCTCAGCTGCGCCACCCTCATGCAGCAATGGTGGATGGGCTGGATGGCAAAATGGGCTGCAGCAGGAACAGCAGGGTGGGCTCAGCCCGCATGGCAAGCAAGAGGCAGCAGAAACTCTGCAGCTGTTGCACGGGCCATGGAATGTCCCAGCAGGCAGGGGGGTGTGGGTTAGAGTGCAGCGAAAAAGCCCAAGGCAGCAGCAGAAAGCAACAGGGCTGGGCAGTGGCAGCCAGGCTCCTCCCTAGCAGCTGCCAGGGAGGCACACCCTCCGGGAAGGGGGAGTGGGTTGGGGGTCTCGGTTTTTCCCCTGAAGCACCCCAGCAGATGGCAAGGGTCCTTTCCAGTGAGGCAGGGTGCCAATAAGGTCCCAGTTCAATAGCTGCTCTCATGAGCAAAGGCTCACCCGTTGCAGTAGATAATAGGGCAGGGTTGGGCTCTGGCAGCAAATTCCCCCACCAAGAAGCAGCTCAACCATCCTCCTCCAACGTCAAGAGAGCAAGAGGAGGAGCCACCCTAGCCCCCTTTTCCCCCAGACCAACTCTTGTTGTATCTCTGCCCCTCCAAGAGAAATCCCACAGCTAAGAGAGTAGCCAGCTTCACCTTTCCTGTGGACCCTTCTTTCCTCTCTCCTAAGTATCAGTCGTTACGGTTTCTTAGTATCAGATGAGACAAAATTCCATGAGAGAAAGAAACAAAAGGAAAAATCCTAAACCAAACAACACCAAACCTTCAACTGGTCTCAGGAGCACAGAGTATTCCTGCTGGAGCACACATAAAGAGTCAGCCAGCAGGGACAGGAGACACAGGAAGACAGGGTTTGAGAGACTCACAGAGGGAGACTGGAGAGGGTACATGTGGCTGTAGATGTGCTCTGGGCAGTAGAGGTTCCATGCCAACAGGAGACCTCCTGGAGGTACTGTGGCAAACACACCCCTGAGGGAGTGTGGCCACTCACACCAGGGCTACCCACAGCAAGGAATGCTCATAGGGAATGGGACACTGAAAAGCAAAGAGGAGCAGAGGAAGATCAGCATGAAACACGAAGGAGCAGCAGAAAGGCACCATTAAGTTCATTACAACCTTCTTGCTCTGCATGTTATCCCAGCAAAGGAGCAAAAGATGGGCTGAGCACAACCTGCAGTGAAAACCAGGGAAACTGATAAAAAGTGGGTAGGGTTTAAGCTTAAAAATAAAGTAGGGAAGAAAGAGGGCCTTCAGGGTCTGATGGATCGATTTTTTTCTCAGTTCTCAAACCCAGGACCAGAAGTTTGCATTAACTGACAGTAAGCTAGTTTAAGCAAAAGTGCCATGAGTTGAGACTGTTTTGCTCGTAACATTCTCTCAGAACATTTTTACTAGACTCCAAAGAGCAAGTTCCTGTGCCAGAGGATGCAAATGACTACTATTAATGACTATTATATTTTCTAACACAGCTGACACCTGACGAAATACGAGGTGATTGCAGTGAGTTCAAGACAGCAAGAGTTAAAGCAGGCAAGAGTCTCAAACGCAGGCGATCCACTCATATGAACCAGAATATCATCAGGAAAATACTGAAATTGGTCTTGGCTAGATGGCAGTAGGCTGAGTCACACTTAACTCTTGCCAAGTTAAATCACTGTAACTAACAGTTACAGCTTAAGGATTGTTGCAGTGACATCATTTTGACATAACAGTGCAGTGGCCATTTTATATAACACCACACACACACACAAAAAAATAGATTAGCCATTTCACATTAGAAAAAATACAAAGATGGAGAAATAAGCGCTGCATTTTTAAAGTTCATGCTGCCATGTATGCACTCTAGCACTGCTACTGAAATTGTTAAAATGAAAACTATGTGGTGGTTTGATAGACTATTATCAGTTTTGTTTGGGGTTTTTTGGGTTTTTAAAATCGGATTTAAAAGAGCCCACAAAGCAGACCTCAGTCTCCAGGAGTCCCTACAGCACAGCACCTCCCTATCCCAGTTGAAAGCTCCATCTCCTGGATTACAGACAGGATAATTTCACCATCTTTCATCCAACTAGGCATCTCTCTCAACGCTGACTCACCTCAGCAACAAGTCGGGAGCTCAAGTGTTTCCTTCCCTTACTCATGGCCTTCTAATTACAGAGGTCCCAGAAAGAAGGGATCTCCATCTGCATTTCACCCCAGGCTACCGATGTTACAACATGAGTACCTCATTTTCCAGCCTGTATTTTGCTCACCTCCGGCTGTCCTTTTGGCAACTGTGTTTCAATCAAGAAGCTCTACCCAATTCTTAAAACAGACACTTAAATCATATATCCCAGTCCAAACTCCAGGTCCTCAGTAAGCAGACGGCTTTTCATGCCTTGATCTTTCTACAGTAGATAAAGGAGACTTTGAGCATTGTGTCTGAATGCAGCAGTTTCTTGCTGTTCATCATGCACAGAATCACAGAGAATCATTGAGGCTGATTTACACCTCTAAGATCATCAAGTCCATGTATGGAGTATCATGCAAGGCCTTTTTTGTTTTGGTTTGGTTTTTTTTGTTTTGTTTTGGTTTTTTTTGTGCATTGTGTTTTGAAAACCACATGCCTCAAATTAGATACTGGGCTAACCTGATGATTTTGCAGGTAGAATATGGCTGAGTTGGTCTCACAGCCAGCCATACTGGGAAGCTTCCTGCCCTTTCCTCCCTGTCCCCACCTCATTTCCACTCTCCCGTGCTAGGCCCTGCCACTCCCTTGTGCTGGCAGGAACACCCATCAAACACCATGCAGAGCAAATTCAACGCAGATTAGTCATTTGCTGATTTATCAAGCTGAATCATCTCAGTGCAGGCCTCAATGGGCACCAGATCAAAAAAAGGAGGAAGAGAAACAGAGATGCCACTCCTCAGCAAGGACAAGTTGTCAGACTGCCTATAGAAATTGGTGATATAAAAACTCCCATTCAACCTTCCTACGGATACAGCCCCAACGGTATCTAAATTCCAGCTTTTCCAGACTGGCAGAGTTCATACTTGGCACACGAGACAACACTTAAACAGCAGCTTTGAGCTGTGAGCTCTTTCTCTAAGCAAGATCAACACAGCTCGCCCTAGCTTAATAATACATTCAAATCCTTGTTGATACGTTGAATACTGATTTAACGCTGACAACTTTCCTGTGCCTAAAATGGATGATCCAGTAAGAAATTTTCAGTTCAGAACTCAGATTCTTCTGCTTGAATCACGAAAGCTGGCAGTCCCAGTGAAAACAGTCAACTCCACACAGTTACATGACAACTGAACTTCTAATAAAGCAAGACCCTTAACTTAGCAGTTCTGTAAATTCAGACTACAGACAGCCCACCAACAGTGAAATTAAGGTTTTCAAAAGCATGCAATTCAGATTTTGCTTTTGTCATTTAAGATTGTATGAGCACAAATCTGAAATTCCCCTGGAAAGTCCCACCCTCTCCAGGCTGACATTCTCAGCAGTTCTCAAATTCTTACGCATTTTGTTTAAGGAAAAAGTGTCCAAACTAATTATGACCTATCTACTCAATCTGCATTATTGACATTAGTCAGTACTCATAAATTAACTAGCTTTCTAAAAGCAATCTGTTTTAAATGTGGTATAATTTCCCTCAGAATTCAGAACAAAACCCCTAGAGGCAGTTGCTGTGCAGTAAAGCACAATCCAGACATCTCATCTCCACACTTCTCAGCAAAAAGTTTAGGAAGACAGCATCCCAGCAAAGATCTTGCTAGCCATGATCATGAGGATTGCTCGCAGAAGTAGAGTAGTTTTCCACAGTAGTAAGATGATAAATGTAAGCAGCCTGAGTCATCCATCAGTTTTAAAGGCAGTTTCTGTAAAACTGTACTATTTTTCCAAGAGCTCAGCTTTTCTAACCTGCCAATAAAGACCACAATAGGGCCACAGCAGAACTGAATTCAAGCAGCCTTGCTGTCAAACTGCTTATCTGGCATCATGTGTGCACTATCTACAGCTTCCAATCAACATTAGGAACATGCATTTTTTCCTTCTCTTTTACAGTTAAGACGTAGATATTTAAGATTTGAGGCGTTGCTTTTATGAAGTACCTGAAAAAACCCAAAAACCTAGGCATAGCAGCAAGTATGCTTATTAACATAGTAAAAGAAAAAATAAATGTCTTAAAAACAAGTCATACAAATGGGAAATGACAGTTTGGACTGCATATTCCAGTTCACCAGCCCTCCGCCTGGAAAAAAAATTTCGTGTTGGGGACTTTGTTACTTTCTCCACCCCTCAATGTTTCTCTTTACCAAATACCAACGTGCTATTACATACAGACTTTTTATCAACGTTCAGAAGAATCGTCACTGATACATACTGAAGCAACGAGAAGCTTCTCAGAAAACACAGCAGTGTGTTTCACCCTAAGATTTTGCCATAATTAATTTTTAAAGGCTGCCGTGCAAAGGCAGACTTTCTGGTGAGTAACTATCCGGTGTCCTGGGACTGCCGTAACTCCGCTTTCTTTCCTAAAATGGAAGCTGCGTTCCAGCCGAGCTGCCCAGGACCCGAAACCCCTTTCAAATCCCACCCTACACCCAAGAGCCCTACTGGGACGAGGACCACGAATTCACCGCAGATGATAAACCAGTCAGTTTCCAGTGCGGAAGGTGGACAGAAAGCTCAGGAATATTTTTCTAGCGAGTTAAATGGAAAGAAAGAAGGGGGAAAAAAAAAAAAAAAAAAAAAAAAAAAGGGCTGGAGGGAGAGAGCGCTGTTTCTCCAGTATGGACAGACACGGCCAGCAAGGGACCCGGCCGGCTCCCTTCCGGGACCGCTCTGCCGATCCGCACTGCTGCCCCGGCCCAGGGGCTCAGGGCAGGGGAGCGCTCCCTCCCCGAGCCCGGCAGGGCCGCTCCTCAACTCCCACCCCTCCTCACCTCTGACGGAGAGCAGCACGGTGAGGAGCACCGGCAAGACAAGGAGCCTCCAGCGCTGCATGGCTGCCCGCCCCACAAGCTCACAGACAGACCGACAGACACGCCACCCGCTGCGCGACAGCCGCTCCCAGCACGGCCACGGCTGCTCCAGAGGCTGCAAGGGCGGCACCGCCCCGGGCCGGGCCGCCGCCCCAGGCCGGGCCACCGCCCCAGTGCGCTCCGGCCGCCGCGCCCCGGGGCCCCTCCTTCCAGCTGCGGGGCTGGGATGGCTTCGGGAGCCACAGGCTGAGCCCGGGAGCTCGGTTTTCACTCTGGGCTGAGGTGAAAAAGGAGTTGGGACTTCGTCATGCTTCTCAGCCCTGAGCCCTGCCGTGCATCCTGCCTGCGAAAGGAAGGGGGTTCCGAAAGGAGGCTACGGGGCTTAAACTCTGGTCCCAGGTTTTAATAGCAGAGACGAACGCTCAGGTGCTCAAGTAACGCTGCCCTCTCTTAAGCCAGACACTCCCTTTCATTGTTTTTCCTCAGGAAAGGCTACCCAACACTGAACACACCAAGACACCTAATAATGCTGCCTATGGCAGTCTTGCTTTTTGTTTAGTCAGAGGAAAATCGTTTTGAGTTTTGTATTTGATACTTGTGCTGAGCTGTGTTGAGGGGTCTGTATGAAAAATTCACTGCCCCCAAATCCTGGTTCTTCAATTGGCAGGTATGCACTGGTTATTGACTGGATAATAAACAATATAGTGACACACACGGTGTGATTTAGAAGGTAGCTTGTTATGTGTAACTGGCTTGGATTTAGTAGTCATAGACCTACGCCTTCCTCAGAGAGGTCCATACCTGTTATTTAGCATTTGTAGGACCTTTCCAGCTGGAAAAGTGGAATGTCAAATCATTGTCACCAGTTCATAAATTGATGGGTGTTTATTTTTTGTTTGGTTGGTGTTTTTGTTTTTTTGGTTTTTTTGTTTTTTTTTTACAGTGCCTCATCAGGTTATTATTATATTTACTCCAAGGCAAAAGAGTTTAACTATGCTAATAAAAACACTTAAAATGATGCTGTGTTTGAAATTAAGGATAAGTTTTTTCATCAAAATATCTGAGTTTTTCAGTAGTATTGAAGTCAACATTACATAGTGGTTAGCAGCTCCCATTTTTGTCAGACTTCAAGCCTAGAATGTAAGACTGAATATGTGCACATGCATTGTCTAATCCATCAGTATGGATCTTGCCATTAATGCTATGTGCACATACACAGGAAATTATTAATGTTGCTCAAAGGATGTCCTTTAACAGAGTGTTTATGGTTGTTATTAAGAATCACCTAAGAAGTTGGTCCCTTGCCAAAAAGAAAATGAGTTAGTACTCCTTAGACTACTGCACACTTCTTTAAACACATACGAAAACATACCTCCTACCCAGGAACTGCAGAGTTAACGGAGAAAACCTAGTTATCTCACTGATATTACCATTTCAGAACAGGGCCTGTAGCTTCCTGTTGCCAAAATTACCCTTCCTAAAAGCTGCCTTCTTCAGGTGAAGTAAAAGCAACTTCCTGTTAGAGCAGACATGAAATAACTGCGCTTTGTACCAGAGCTTGTGTTTTCCACTTGGTTCAATCCTTGAGGCAGGGGACAACTACCTAGCACTAGCCACTTTATGGCTAATAAATTTTCCGGATTTATAAATATCTGGTAATTTTTTTTTAATCTTACTAATCTTATGATCTGAAAATTTCACTGATATTTTGTGAAAATGAGGTTCCTGATTTGTTGTTACCAGCTCTCCTATGTGTGGACTTGCTTAGAAAAAAAATCCAGGCTTTGTTGTTTCACATGTAAAGCCAACTCATCTGTAAAAAATCACAACCATTTAGCAATAAGGCTGATTTTTCTATTGTGTGAGTAATAGTTGTAATCTGAGACCCACTTCTTCCAATATCCAAAGCACCTATCTTTGTCTTGCCCGCCCTTCAGTGGTTGTCCCAGCAGGTTTTTTACTCTCTCTGTAGCATCCATAGCCTCTACCAGGAAGTCTCTGCAGATAGCGTGAGCATTTTTCTGATCTGAAGATGCTGTGGTAGGAGAAAATGTTGCCTTATGGCTTATTTCTAAAGAACAGGAATTTTAAAAGACATGCATGGTCTGTGGTTTGACCTGAAGAAAAATACGACTTACAGAGCATCACAATGAAGGCTGGAAGTTGTAAATTCAGGTGAAACTGTTCAAACTTGAATAAAATTTGTGGTGTGCACAGCTGAATAGCTGCCTCTGAGCTATGAAGGTAAAAGTTCTTTCTTCTCATTTTCCCCCAATTCCTCTTCTGAAATAAAATACTTGTAGCTCTTTTACTGCCTCATCCTATTTTTTTCCCTTTTACCTATGAGTTTTCAAGCTCTCCATATGTCCAAAGAAGAAAAAGAAAGACAAATAGAATTTTTTATTTGCTAGAAACCAGATCTTCATGGTGCAGTTAAAACCTTGCTGCTCTGTCACACAGGAACACCCTTTGCAATCAGAGGGCCACAGCCACTGTCCGTGAATGGTGAAGCAGATGGACAAAGACAGCACTATGGAAACAAGAAAGGAGATGGGCAGGATTGGCAAACTATACTTTGATTCACCCTTCTGTTCAGTTACTCCTATAAAATTGGTATCAGCATGAAAATGACCCTAGAAATTATGTTGTCTTTTTTTGTTTTTTTTTTTTGCTTTTGCAATTCACCAGAATCTGGCAATACTCTGTAATGATTCTATTTCAGGTGCAATGTTTCTGAGGCTAAGAACACATCCAAGGAGTGTGTTTGGCTGCGTTGATGCTGTGGCTTCATCTAACAGCATGTATTAGAAGAGTATTTGCCATAAGTATCTCATGATTTTCACTCATTTGGAAATCAAACTGAAGGGCAGGGCTTCAAATCTGGTTTCTGTCATGGCGTCTACTGAAGTATGAGCTCTGATCTTTAGTTTTCTTCTCACTGTGAGGATATAGATGTTTACATTTGAATGTAATTTTAACTTAAAGGCAAACATGTAGCACTTTATTTGCTCTCAGTGTTCATCTTGACCTGTAAGAAGGGGTTAGTTCCACTAGTAAAGTTTCCTGTAATATTCTACTGGTAAGTGAAGTTTTAGGGCCACAAATAATCTGATATGGTATTGTCAGTCAATACAATCATGTTTTTTTAGAAAAAGGATTAAGTATAAAGAACTTGTTACAAACATAGTTAAGCGCTATTTGATCTTTGGTCACAAATTATTAAAACTGTATCAATTTTGTTTGGGTTTTGTTTGGTTAAGTTTCGGGGTTTTTTAAAAATGTGGCAGTAACATTCTGAATTCTAAAGATATATTCAGAATTAGCAGGAGTCCGAAGAGGCTCCAGAGTCTCTGCTGGCTCCCCCTTGGACGCGATTTTCTGATGCTGTCTGCCCTGCAGGACAGGAGATACTGCAGCCTAAGTGTTTCTTCCCAAGGAAGCAAATGAGATTCCACTCAAACCACCTGCTTGATAACAAATAGTGCTTCGGAAAGGAGTTTCTGCAGGTGATTCTGAACAACTTCTACAAATTGCTGATCTTTGCGACCCTGAGCTTTTCCTGCAGTAAATATCCTCTTTCTGTTGGTATCTCTTGTTCCCTCCAGTAGCAGCAATAATTGCAGTGTGCTTACATGACTTTCAGCACTGGCTTTCATACTTTGCCACCAAGGTCTATGGCAACTTAGAGCCCATCTTCTTTAAAGCTCAGCCCATTTCTCCCACTATAAATACCAGCCAGGTATTATTTCCTTTTCAGAATCTCCTCACATATTTTCGTACTTCGTTTTGTTGCTTTTTTTTTCTTTCAGTAAGTATCCAAATTTCTTTTCTATGTACAAAGTCTACTACACCTTTTTTGGTAGCAGTTCATAAAAGAAAATATTATTTTTTAGATCATTTTTCTGCGTACTGATCCACATTTGAAGAGACATTAAGCAAAAAATTGTTTATAAAGTATTTGTTAGTTTATGACATGGATGCCTTAAAGGGTTAGTTCCATAAGAGAAAATGCAGTTTAATGATTAATGAAATAATTTATATCTCTTAAAAGGATTTTCTTAGTAATATTGTATTTTATCTGAAACAGAAAGGTATTGTTTTTCATGCATCCCTTAAAAAACAAATCCTTTAGCAACAGCCCTTAGCGTGTTTTTTCTTTAACTCCTGTTTTGTTAGACAATAGTATCTTCACTGAATTCTAGTAAGTTGAACTTTTTGGTTCTGGAAACAGATTTATGGCTGTTTTTCTTCTTAAAGTACGAGCTAGAAATATCTAGTCTAGTATAAATGCTGAAAGCAGTCTAGTTGTAGCAGTAGATGGGATAGACCTCTACACAGGCTTATAAATTATAGTGAAAATATTGTTTTGGATTTTTTTAAAGATAAAGCCTTTTAAGGCACCTGCCTTATGGTATAAATTTTTCCAACTAAAGTAAAGTAGTTCTTTTGCTGATAGGAAGTCTTGATTCCTCTAATAATGTTTCAGTTTTATGCTAATTGTATAAACTTGTCTTTGTATTAAACTGCTGACATTCAGGTTTCATGGTTCACTACACATATTTTGAAACCTGTTTCTTCTATTCCTTCTTTCTACCACAAAACTTTGTTTTGAGCATTTTAAGTAATTTTTATTTAACGTAAATATTTGACTTACTGAAAAGAAAATCTGAAATACCTTTCCTCTCTTTTTGGCAAAGTGACATTTATAATAATGAAATGTTTGTTCCTTTTGAAAAACCTAAGAAGTAAAATTTTTTGTTTAATTTTGTTCCAATAACATAATAATTAAATTTTAAGATGATAATTTTATGCTGGTTTTGTATGTTATTTCTCCTGGTACTAAGTTCTGCTTGTCTCTGCTGTTCAGAGAGAAAGAGAAAACTGACCGTAGCAGTTTTTAAACATGTAAGCGCCACATTCAGTTTATGCTGTTTGATTGAGCTGCATCTTTCCAAGTCTAAGTGAATGTGATTTTTGCACTCCTGACATATTAGAGGTCTTTTATTTTATAAAACAGGAGCATGTGAGTATATGTTTTAGTTGTTCAAGTACTGCTGCCATTTGCCATATTTAAACATTTCTTATTTAAGGCTTTTGTTCCCATTTGCATTTTCTCCTCAAAGGAAAAATTGTCATAAACTGTTATATTCACAAGAAGTAAAACAAAATTGGAATACCTTCATATTCAGTAACAAAGCAATGTTTGTGGTATTCCCAGTACTGACATTGTCTAGACAAGAAACAAAGAGAGAAGGTTTCTTTAGTCTTGAAAATCTTCCTTTCAAGCTCAAGTCTGCATGTCTCATTGTTTCAGAATCAACTTTCTTGAAACGTCTTTCCTGT